GTATAGCTGGTAAAGCTGTCACCATTGACACTGACACATGAGTGCCAGCTCAAGTCCTGTCTGCTCCCTGCTTTAAGCTCCCTGCTACTGTGCCTGGGGAAGCAGCAGATGCTGGCCCAAGTCCTTAGGCCTCTGCATCCGTGGGGGAGACACAGAAGAAGCTCCTGGTTCCAGGCTTTGACCTGTTCCAGTTTGTTGGTCCCAGAACTAATACAAGGCAAGGATTACCATCCAAGCACAATGTACTTCCTTCTCCACTAATCAACACAAGTGTGCGTTTTCTTCCCTGGGTGTATGTGATAAAGGCCATGGCAGCGGCTTCTGTGTTCAGGTTTCCTCAGCATAGCAAGGAGATCATTGTGAACAGTGGGGTTGGCAGTTGCCCAGGGGTACCTTCTGTCTGACGTGTAATATGCTACTAAAAAGGGAGAAAGAGCAGTTTCAATATTTTCCATTATCCTCAAAATGGTGTTATTCTGCTTCCTATCCCCTCTTCACACAAGTTGAGATTTTACAGCACTTTTCCTTGTGGTTATTTGTCTGGTTTTTTTAAAATGAGTTTCCATTGTTATACCTAGTAGATAAAAATAAAATTTAAAAAAAGATAGAATTTAAAGGTAAGTTTATTTTGGTATAAAAATTGTTGGAATCCATGCATATTTTTTCATAGTATATATTTTCATGAGCACTTTTAAAACCCTTAATATAGTAAAGTCTTCAAGAAGTTATTCCAAAATGCCAGCATTGAAGAACAAATTTTTAAAAATATTTATTTGTTCTTAAAAGTTATGGTTATATATAGAGAAAGAAATCCTCCATCTGCTTTTTCATCCTGTAGTAGTCCGCGTTAGGCTGGGCCCAAGCCAGAGCCAAGAGCTTCATCAGGTCTTCCATGTGGGGGAAGGGGCTCAAGGCTTGGACCCTTCGTCTTCTGTTTTCCCAGGCTGTTAGCATGGAGCTAGATTGAAACTGGATGTAGGGCCTGGCGCAGTGGTGCAGTGGTTAAGGTCCTTGCCTTGCATGCCCGGGATCCCATATGGGCACTGGTTCTAATCCCGGCAGCCCCGCTTCCCTTCCAGCTCCCTGCCTGTGGCCTGGGAAAGCAGTCGAGGACGGCCCAAAGCTTTGGGACCCTGCACCCACGTGGGATACCCGGAAGAGGCTCCTGGCTTTGGATCGGCATAGCATCGGCCCTTGTGCTCACTTGGGGAGTGAATCATTGGACGGAAGATCTTCCTCTCTGTCTCTCCTCTCTGTATATCCACCTTTCCAATAAAAATAAAATAAATCTTAAAAAAAAAAAAAGAAAGTGGATGTAAACCAGTGCCCTTATGGTGGCTTGGCCTGCTGTAACACAACACTGACCCCAGAAGAAATTTAAGAGTTCTGACCTAGTCGTATTTCCCCTTGTTTTATTGAGGTATAGTTGCCAAAAACTCTACATTTTCAAGGTATACAGAATGGTGATTTACTGTTTTTATATATATCTATATCTATTTAACTATCTATCTATCTAAATATAAAAATGATGATCACCATCAAGTTAATTAAAACATGTAGCACTTCATATCATTACTTTATGTATTTGTATGTCTGTGGTGGGAATACTTAAAATGAACTTCTCTAGCAAATTTCAATATATAAAACAGCATCATTTATTAGTCAACATTCTTGGCACCTATAGGGCTTAAATGTAACTGAAAGTCTGGTCCTTATTCCCAAAAGAGGAGTTGTTAAATAATGTAGAAGTTCAATTGTTGCTTGAGGAACCTCCATATTGACACTTCCGACGGGGTACCAGTGTTCTGTTTCATCCATATCCTTGCCAACACTTGTTCTCTCTTGGAGTTTTGATAATAGCCATCCTAATAAGTATGATGTAAGGCTCTGATATGCATTTCCCTGATGACAGATAATGTTCAACACTTTTTCATGTATCTATTTTCTAATTTATGTTTTTTTTGTGGGGGGGAACATCTATTCAGGTTCTTTGTGCATTTTTAAGTAGATTTATGTGGTAAATTTCTTTTTGTGATTGAGTTGCGTTAGTGTCTTGTATGTTTTTATCCTGGCCTCTCACTCTGTGTCTGCTTCACTGGTACTCCCTCCTGCCCCACAGGCCTCCTTGTTATCTTGTTGATTTTGCTGGACATGAGTTTAAAGTTGCACGTGGCTCCTCTTGTTCGCTTTTGCTTTAGTTGCCTATGCTTGTGTTGTCATATCAAGCAAACAAAACATTTAAAGACCAGTATGAAGAACTTACCTTCTAGATTTTTCCTGGGACCTTTGTAGTTTCTTGTCTGCAATCCCTGATTTTTGTTGTGGTATAAGACAGGGTATCACTCTGTTGTTTGGTATGTGGAGGTCCAGTTTTCATAGCTCTGTTTATGGAAGAATCTGTTCCTTTTTGTTGTTGTTGTTGTTGTTGTTTTGGTATATTTTTGGTGCCCTCATCGAAGATGTTTAAAAATCTAGTCGTTTCACAGCAACATCATGAAGCTGTAGTTTTGCTAATTTCATTTTCTAAAAGATAATTCTTGAAATGCAAGCTAAGATTGTAATATACCCTGAACTGATTGTTTGGCGGGGGCGCGGGAAGAATAGATGTTGGAGATGAATGGGGATCACTGGTGGTAGCAGAAATTAGAGTATCTGACCCGATTGGAGATGCTCAGAATCATCGGTTTTGAATGAGTGTCAGGATCGCTGTTTCAGTGGAATGCAAATATTAGTGCTCTGAAGTACCGGCTCATTTGGAAAGGGGATGCTCAAACGCCACAGCTAAAGTTGCCAGAACTCTTTCAGCCTAATTAGCAAGTTAATGCTTTTCCCTTTCTGCTGTTGCCTAATTTTTCATTCCATTTATCCTTTCTAAAAACCCGCTGATTTCATGCACTTGAGCCCTACAGAAGATTGTTGCTTAGCAACCACCTACATGACTAACAACCCTGTATCTAGCGGAGGCTTTGAGTGACTTGTTGATTTAATATTGATGTGCTCGTGTATTGACCGTCAAAACCAAACACAAGTTTTTCCACTTTGTTTCACAGTTTTTACAATTTAATAATTAATTTATGTGTCAGGTGTTTGTAGCAACAACAAAACAAAACACATTATATTTCATAGGAGTAACTCTTTTCGTCAATTCTTAGTAGAATTGCTGGATTTATCATTTTTTTTTTTTTACTTCATCTTTTCTAACAAAATACCCAAACCGAACACGCTGAGTAAAGCAATATTTTCGGCGCGCTTAGTGTGCGATTACACAGTGTTGCGTTTTAATGCTAAGTTTAATTTTTAAGATGTGTATTAAGGTTTTACAGGAGGAAATTACTTACAGATTAATTGGTTGGTGTTACAAAGAGTGGTTTTATTTTTTGGTTTCTCACTCAAATGGAAGATCTAAAGCATGGGAGGGACATGGTGCCATCGTGGTGGAGCGCCTTATCAGACTCATGCTTGGGTTTCTTCCTGCTGTGGCATACAGTGCTGTCTTACTTGCCAGATTTCACACCTGTTTTCTTTTCTTCTTTTTTTTATGTAATTATTGGAAAGTCAGATATACAGAGAGGAGGAGAGACAGAGAGGAAGATCTTCCGTCCGATGATTCACTCCCCAAGTGAGTGCAACGGCTGGTGCTGTGCCGATCCGAAGCCAGGATCCAGGAACTTCTTCCGGTCTCCCACACGGGTGCAGGGTCCCAAAGCTTTGGGCCATCCTCGACTGCTTTCCCAGGCCACAGGCAGGGAGCTGGATGGGAAGTGGAGCTGCCAGGATTAGAACTGGCGCCCATATGAGATCCCGGGCGTTCAAGGTGAGGACTTTAGCTGCTAGGCCACTGCGCCGGGCCCCACACCTGTTTTCTTTACTCTGCTTCTCTTCAGCTGCCCTGGGATAAAACCAAAGTATTAGCAAATTTGCTCACTGCTTGCTTTGTTAGACTGTAGTGTTGCAAAGTTAAAGAGCACTTGTGCAAAAATATAAACAGTAAGAAGGCTGTTGTGCTGATGTAAACAGTGTTAAAACATCTCGGGGCATTGTTGGGGCCTCGGTGAAGGAGCTGCCTGTAACAGCAGCACCTGTAACAGGCGCACCAGTTTGAGTCTCAGCTGCTCCATTTTTGATTCCGCTCTCTGCTTATGTAATTGGCAACAAAGAAGGCCAAGATGCTGTGGCTCCTGCCATGCAGGTAGGAGACCCAGGTGGAGTTCCCGTCTCACACTTCAGGATAGTGAACCAGAAAACAAGATCGTTCTCTCTCTCATCCCCATACCTCCTCTTTTACCCTTCCTTTTCCTTTCTTTCTGCCTTTCAAAAAAATTTTTTTCTAAGAAAGAGAAACTCTGCCTTCAACAAGAACTTTTGTCTTAGAATGGAACTCCTTACACAACAGCCACTTTGGATTTACGCCTTGCAATGTCAGGCTTTGGACAAATGTATTTTCTCTCACAGGAAGGAATTCTTGAGGTGCAGTTTTGCATAATGAGTAAGGTGGTTTTTTTAAGACAATATCTTCCTTAAGATATCACCCTAGCATAAAATAGAGTGTTGTTGCTCTTTTTTGGGTTTAAGCAACGTGAGTTACTGGCAGCTGGGGGCATTGTAGATCATCCAGCAGCTGGCCTGCAGCTGGCTAACGCAGGGCTCACTTATGACATAAAGTCTGAAAGATTCTAAGAGGCACTGTATTCACATTTTATTTATCTTGTCAGCTCTTATGTAAGAAAGTACAGGAAAACTAATGTTAACTCTAAAGATGTATACTTAGTAAGCTATATGGATGCAGTGTGTGCCAAAATAGGTTACAACAAAAGTAATCTTTAAAGACATCTATCAATCTATTTGAGTATAGAAAATAGATTTGGCATGCAAAGTAAACTACCATTCCAGTGAATGAAATTAGAATATTCTAAGTGTTGCCACTATTGCTGCTATAACTAATGTTTAAAAATATGTTTTTAAATTATTCATTACTTTCCAGTTATGCTCTGGTTTCTCTTCAGCTCGTATAAATCTTTTGCCTTTTACTTTCCAGTTAAAAAGTTCACAATTATTCTTTTAGTATGGTTTATATTTATTTGAATTACACACACACACACACACACACGGAGATAGAAAGAGATAGACAGGGATGTTCCATCTGCTGATTGACGGCTGGGACGCAGGTAAGCACTTAGGCCGTCCTCTGCTGCTTTCCTAGGCATTAGTACTAGCATGGAGCTGGATTGGAAGTGGAGAAGCCAGGACCGGTGCCCCTACAGGGTACTGTCACCATCCCAGGCTGTGGGTCTACCCACTGCGCCACAACGCTGGCTCTGGCACTTAGGACTCTACAAGCAAGCATGAAGCCTGTTTTTAAAAAAAGACCTATTTATTTCTTTGAAATTGTTGCAAAGAGAGGTTTTCTTTTCTACAAAATAAGGGTAATCAGACAGGTCACATAGTCTGAGTAAGCACTGAAGGAGGTCAGCAGTTGGTGCAGCTGCAGCTGATCCCAGCCTAGCAGGGGTTCTTTGTTTACTCTGACTTCAGATTCTCTTGCTCTCTCTGAGTTGATTGGAGTGCAGGTTCTTGTAGTCAGTTCTAAGCTTCAGGAAAAATTGTTGCTCTGAACTATTGCATGGGATATTCCTTCTGACTTAAGATACAAATGAACAGTTCACAGCCTTGTTATAACACAATTACAAAGCAAGGTTATTTATTTCCATATGATAACCCAAAGTAATGCTGTTTTGTTGAGGAGGTTAAAATAGATGAATATCATTGTGGAGCAAATGCTGTGTGTTCCTTGTTCGTGTCACAGTTGCTCAGTTTGATAAGAGATAATCTGTTAATTCTGTTTGCGTTGTAATCGGAAAGTGGAGCCTGCAGCAAATGACTAGAGATTTTTCACCCACTCCCCTAATCAAGTTTTCACTTCCTCCAATTTTTCTCATGGACTCATGTAATGTAATGACATTGCTTTGAAATAAAGCAATAGCTATCAAACTTTAGTTACTTTGGGAGAATGATTAATTAATAACTCCTTACAGTGAGGGTAAAGACAGACTTCCTGAATTGCAGTGGGCCCCAGACAGATGGTTCTGCCCCCGCCTTGTGAGACAACAGCAAGGCGGACTCACAGCAGCCACAAAATCTACCCCAAGTGCCCCAGCACTGCGAGGAATAAATTTCTGTTGTTTGTAGGTCACACAGGCGGTGAGTAGCAGAGACAAACGTCACAGCAGGTGATTTGTAACGCTGAGTTCCTGTATTAATCATTATACTACATCTCCTTACTCTGTAAGCAAAAACTGGAGACCAGAAAGGCAGAGATCTTACAATATGCAACGACTCTCCTTGATCTATCTTCCATAGATAGGCAAATTTTTTTGACTTGACATTCAAAATCTGCCATGGCCAGTTCAGTTTGCCTTTGGAACTGGTGTCCTGCACTCTATCCAGGCTCACCTTCTCATCATGTTACGATTCTGTGTTTCCATTTAATAGGCGTAGTCAGTTCTGTGAACCTGTGGGCATGAAGGAAGCATTGTGGTGTGTTGGCTGTTTCATGGAGGGCATACACCTTGGAAAAAGACGAATCTGTTTTGGAGTCCTGTCAGCTCTGCTGAAAGATGTGAAAATTGGATCTAAACGTTGGTTTTCCATTTTGTATCTATCTCATCTTAAAAACAACAACAACAACACCAGAAATAGGGATAATTGACTTATTGTGAAAACTAAATAAGATTCCATGTCTGACTTAACGACTACTTACTAAAATCAACCGCTTTTATCTATGTTACAAATTCAGCAAAATATACCCATGATTCACAAACAAATAAATTTGTGAAGTTGCAACAAAAATTTGTTCAAAGTCCATGGTTTTAAGCTGCGTAGACGTAACTTAACAGGGAACCTTGAGGGTCTATTTTAAAGGGAGTTACCAAAACTGAAGGAAGAGTCAGAACCCAAACAGCACTTGCATGAAATCCAATCTTGATTCCTAGACCAGCTCTGAGCTTATGAAAAAAATGAACGTAAGACATCATATGAATGGCTTAATTTGAATATTAGTAAAATTTTAAAACATAATTGTTAACAATTTTAGATACCAAAGTTATTTGCTGTTGGGATTAATTGAATATTATGCTCATCGTGAGACAAAGCGAAGCACTCTTGGCGTTCAGCTGTGTCAAAACGCTGGCTGTTGTCATGGAATATTAGTGCTAAGGAGCACGTGAAAGGCTTAGCTCTGGTTTAGGTCAGGTTTGATGTTAGCATGGTAATTGTAGATTTCAGAGTTGGAAATGAGGTTTAAAAAGAAAAAAGCTGGATTGTTAAAGAGTTGTGGCCTTTCTTTGGTAATCTGGAATCTCCCTGGCTCTCATCTGTGCAGACATGCAAATGTGGTGTAGGATACTCCGTCTACCTGCTCAGCAAGTACCTAGAGTGCTCTGATGGTTTGTTCTCCGGGTTTAACTCTAGGGATTTGGGGGTAAAGAGTCTGTGTTCTCTGAGGTTTTGAACTCGCCTAGAAGTGGCTAAGAAAGATAGGAAAGATAAATGAGCTGAATGACTACAATTCAGCCCAACAAGAATGGTTTCTTTTCTTTACCTTTGCATAATTTTAAAGAGAGATGAGATTTCACTTATCTTTTTGCTTGTTGTTGTTCTACAGTTGTTAAAATTCAGTGGGTGTTACTGGACCGTTCCAAAGTTGAGAATGTTCAGAAAAGCCTTCTTCTAGGGGTACTTCTGTGGTTTCTTCTTTGCGACTGTGTTTTGTCTTCTGCTCCCCCATCTGCGTTTTGCAGTGTGCACTCTCTTGAGGTGGAGATAGAAATCTGCTTGGAAGATCAGTTTTCTGGATTGGAACAGTACTGCGAGAATTCTGCTTTTGTTTTCTGTGTATGTCAGCACTAGGAATGTGCTGTGATTTTGCAGCTGCCTTAACCTCGAGTGGTGTTACTTCAGGAGTTCTTTCAGAACGTCTGCTAGGAGTCTCTTGAATGATGAGGCAGGAGGGGTCGCTGGGGCTGGAGGAGTGGGCTTGTGCAGGGCTCAGGCTCTGCATCCGGGACATGCAGACCTTCCGGCCTCTAGACCGTGTATCTCTCCCAGTGGGTTTGTCCTCCTTCCCATTTGAGCCTGATTTATGACTGTTGCGATGAGACTGTTCAGCAGTAGACCCAGAGCCTTGGGAAGATGGCCCTTCTATGTACTGGTTTTTATGAGGGATCTTTTCCTAATGCGTTTGCTGCTTTGACTGAGGGGTAACAGAATATCTGTCCTGTAATGAAGCTTTTTTGCTTTATTGCTTTTGGGAGACCACAGAAAGAGAATAGCCACATCTTAGTCAGGCTTTTTATAAATGTTTTCTTGTTTTGACTATCCCAAAGTTCGACACTTGAGAATAGATGTTCTCTGAAGGCCAGGATGTGGCTTGTTCAATTCACCCATGCAGTGTGATCCTGGCGTGTTTTGTTACAAGTACAGCCCTACAAGGCTGGCCACCGAGAGGTGGCTTCTAGATAGAAAGACTAAAGAGTGTTGTAACTAGTTCAAAATATAACTATTGTTAATAAATCCTCATTTTGGGAGCAAAAGAATTGATATTAGAAATGCAAGCTAGCATAAGGTAGATTACATTTGCTGAGATACATAATAGCAACCCTGGGGACTTTTCTTGATATCTAGGTTTACTGTTATTCTTTGTTATCTGATTAAGATTTAAAAAAAAAAAGTGTTCCCACCTTCAAATTTCTAACCAATCTATTGGGTGAAAGAAAATAAGAGGGTTCTGACTGCCCGCACACAGGGAAAGCCAGGATCTAGTCCTTCCCTCTCAATTTACATGACCACAGGGAAATTGAAACCTGGGGAAGTTAAACGACTTTGCTCTGGGAGGGAGGACGGCCGTTGGCTGGCAGGTTCCTGTTTGAACTGGGGACCATCTATTTGGTTACCATTGAATGCCTTGGTTTCTGCTGCCTGTTTGACACACGATCCTCTCAGGTAAGCTTTAGCAGCAAATGCTGTTGTACCCCATCCCTTAATCTCAGGTAATTGTCCACCCCCTTCCCTCTTCCCTCTCCCCACCCCCATTCTCCATGCAGTTGCCTGGTGTAAAGGCAAATTCCTCCCGAAACTCAGGTGTAAACAATCCTGGAACTCCGTGGCGTGGGGGTGGGGAGACAGGAGCGTGGGTAGTGGTGGGCGAGACATCTTGCAAGGGAGCAAAGAACTTTGTGTAAACCTGACTGTGTGTAACAGCTGCTGGGGTTTGGGGAGAGTGTAGATGTGGCTGTGGCTTCCAAGACCAAAGAGAATGTTTTAGGAAAAGACAAAAAGTCAGTTTAACAAGTTTTCTAAAAGCTTACCAGTTTTCAAAGAGCTCACATTTAGTTGGAACCACATTTCATTATTTGTAGAAACAACAAGACAAAACAAAAACCCTTGCTCAAGAAAATATTTACTGTAGCCACGATAGATAGAGCATGTCTCGAATTTAGTATTGAAATGTTACTACTGATTCTGGTCTTGGTGGCTAATTAGGAGAATCTTTTGATAGTAAGCCAGAAGCTTTAAAAAATCTTTGTTTTGTAGAATCCTGAAAGGACCCAGTTATTTGATGTTGCCAACTTCCGTTTAAGTAACATTAAAACTTGCCAATCTTCAGTGTTTATAAAAGTGTTTTTGCACTGGTACAGCCTGGTGCCTTAAAAGTTTTTTACGTTAATACATCGCACCTGTAAGTATTGTTAGCTACTGTTTCCCAGTTTCTTTTTCATGGATAATAAGTGTTCTTCATAACCAAGATGATCACCTGTTGTTATATTGAATGCGCTCTCCAAGGGTGCATAAGCAACCACTCCAACGCGGCTATAATTCCTGTTTGCTCCTGGGCGGTTGCCAGCAGGGAGTAAAGCATTATGGGAAGTCATTTCTTTACCTTCCACAACAGGTGTCTTTGTCTGTGCACCTTAGTCACAGAACAGTGTGGAAGCACTGAGTCACTGTAGCAAAGACGAGTATGAAAGCAAGAGCAATTGCTTTCACATCTAGAAAACGGTGCTGCAGGATCAGTGTGAAACCTGGTGCTAGTGGGTGCTTGAAGAGCTTCACAGAACGTCTCGAAGTGCTTCCGAAGCCATACCAAGGAAAGGGACCCTCCAAGGTATGAGCTGCATGGGCACTTCCAAATGCCTTGCCTCCTGATTTTCATTTCATTTTTGTCTGATTACTCAGCATTGAGATAGATATGCCGGAAGAAATATTTAACTGAAACGATGCTTAAAAGATAAGGCTGCATTGTTGAAAACAAGTCCTCAGTAAAAGTGCTTTCCCCGGCTCTAAGAACGGTCAAACAGTTTGAAGCCATCTTAATCTTGAGGACTTACTTAAAAACTGCATTTTTGCTGCAATAAGCCTATTAGGCTTGCTTGTTTCCTAGCAATAAGGTGTTTTCTTTCCTCCTTCCAAGCATGTAAGCTTTTAATCTAGAATGCTGTAGCAGTTGCAGAACCCTCCTAAGCGCACTTGGATGCAACAGGGTCCTGATTAAGTAATCATGTTCATCTAGAGGAAGATTCTTCAGGAAAATGTGGAAACAGACACTCTAGCTGTCACTCTGAGCTCTGTTTGTTTTCCAGAAAGCAAATTTAAGCAACATAATACTGCTTAATGAGACTTTAAAAATTCCATCTGGTATCCGTATTTCCTTTGATTTTAGATAACAATTTTCCAAATTGATTTCTAGTTCCAACAGATATTTCTCATTCAACTACAGTATCATCTCTAGCAAACAGGGGAGATATTCGTTCCATGAGGCATATCGGAAAAGCAGCTGGGAGATGCTTTATCTGATACCTTCCCTGTTTTGTTACATAGTTCTTCCAGGAAGTTAGCACACATTATATTTCCCAGTAACTTAGGCAGTCTTGCAGGAACCACCAGGGCTTGTGGGGGGACTTTCAGACTCTTCGTCTAGAGACGTGGAAGTTCATTTATGCCTCCAGTTGAGCTCCAAAGAATACTTGTGCTGGCTAAGATACCGTAGTTCCTCTTGGCTGCTGATTTGGTAAATAAGAGAAACCTGTAACCTGAAAAAAGGTGAAGAGGATGTTTATGGGAGAAAAGTTTCTAAACCAAACCCTCCCTCCCTGCTTTTAGGATAACAGAAAACAAAATTCCATTTAAATATTCTTTTTTTTTTCCAGTGGGAAAAGGGGGAATTATTGTTGATTTCATTTTTCTATTTTGGTACATTTTTTAACAGAAATCTCAGAGAGGAAAAAGAATCCTTATTAAACTTGAGGAGAGAATTTTTTAACTACCGAGAAATTGAAATGGCTGCCATCTCTTTTCTAAGAATTTGAAGAAATAAGCACTATAAGAGTGTTAAGAAATTCTGCGTTGCCAAGAAGAATCTTCATATAAATAAAACTGAAGATGAAATATTAATTTTTAAACCAGGAACAAGTGAATTTTTGTTTTTCTGTCTTGCTATGGATATTTTTATTTAAGAAACCATTCTTTTTTAAGTTTAAAGAAGATTTGCAAAAAGTGACTTTTCCATCTGCTGTGTGCGGAATGCAGAAGGTGTTTGCAGTGTACACTTCCTGCAGAGATAACAGACTCAGCTTTCTGCTGGGGCTGAATTGCTAGACAAACCTGTGATAGCAGCTGCCTTTTTTCCTTCCCCCTCTTTATCTTCTCCTTTCTGGATTTGTGACATTCGGCCCCCTCCAGCTCAGGTGGGCGTGTGCACTGGCACTGAACTGCCTTCTCCTTGGATTGTCTGGTCGGGAGCTGGGGCGGCGGCAGCTGGCAACATGATGGAAGAGGTCTCCATTCTGGTAGCCTATGACGCTCACGTGTTCAGCCAGCTGCATGATGAAGACTTCCTGAGTAGCCTGGTGGCCGTCAGCAAGCCCAGGTCCCTGGTAGGTGCTGCCCTGCACGCTGCTCTGTGGCTGTCTTTCTCTTCTTTGTGAGGGCTGTACTCCCGCGGCAGTGAAGGCAGAGCTTCCTGGGAGTCTGAGAGGAAGTATGCTGCTGACTTGGTGTTACAGGCTGCAACAAGGTCTAAAAGTTTCTCTGAGTTAGATATTTAAACGTGGTCACACATGACTAGGACATTTAAATTGTTAGATCAGTACTGTCACACACAGTAATGTTCCGTGTGTAAGGCCAAATATCGCTTTACCCCATGTTTGCTCTTTTGTCTATATGCATATGATTATTAGTTGAGCACTGTTCACATCTATATAATGCAGTTCAGTCTGTTTAGGTGAAACATTTCTGTCAGCGGGATGCAGCATTAAAATTAAACTACCTAAAAATCAATTAACTTTCAGGGTCCTAAATTATTACTGAGAAGAGCTATTATGAATACAACTCATAGATATCTTATTTGTAAAGGACATTTTTACCATTCTCTAAAGGTCTTCATGTACACACCTTGGCATAACGGGAGGATATGTTCTTGCAGGGTCATTCTGATGGCTACAGGATTGAAGAGGGGCTTCAGGCAGGCTCTGCCAGCTGGAGCTGTAGTGGTCTGCCACAGAATGCAGCAGTGTCTCACTACAAACCCTGCTCCAAGGCATAGGAACAACTTAAAACCGTAACTGACTTTTTTTTTAATGAAAAGTTACAGCAATAACAAAAAAAAAGGGAAATCTATAATTTAAAAAGACCTAAGGGTTATGTAAATATTGGTTTAAAAAATTTTGTAAGATTCTTGGGGGAAATTTGACTACTGCTTTGTTATTTATTTTTGCCTAGCAGTGCAATTCTGATTATTTTTGGAAATGTTGATCTAGGGGTATGTCATTGAATAGTTACAGATAAAATATCTGTAAAAATCCACAAGTCCAGTAGAGTGATCGGTGGCGTGGCTAAAGCTAGATGAAGGTGTGTTGATTGTTGAGACGCAGGGAGAGCACAGAGGTCAGTCATACTGGCTCCACTTTGGTGCATGTTTTCTAGATGCTGGTTAAAAAATGAGTTGCAGAAACAAACAAACAAACAAAAAACAAAATAAATACAAACCCATAATATGCTTCTGCAAGTATTCCTTAGTGCAGAAACATTTAGTCTGTTGCATGCCTTTCTTGATTTACTATATGCTTTTTCTATATTTTTATTTAAGTGAGAGCTGTCGAAAGAGAAGGAAAAACAGAGCAATATCTTCAACTACTGGTTTGTTCCCCCAAATGCCACAACAGCTGGGGCTAAGCCAGGTAGAAGCCAGGAGCTAATAGCATCATTTGGGCATGGCACAAAGGCCCAAACCTGTGGGCCACTAGCAAGCAGCTGCATTGGCCGTGGGGCAGCCAGGACACAGCCGGTGCCTTTATAGCTGCTGGCATCACAGTGGGATAGCTGTGGAATAAGTTCGCTTGCTGCACTCAATACAGTTTCTAGTTTTTGATTATAATATGAGGATTATTGCTAACCCCAACCTAGTTAATCACAGTATGTGCACTGACTTGCCATGGTATAGTCCATCATGGTTATGGATGACCTTTAAATTTCATTTGGACCATATTCCATCACAACAGCATTCCACTGTGACAATTTACCCAAAGGATTTAAAAATCTGTTCCATTTCCGTTTGGTTGCTGTGTCAGGATCCTCTTGCAGAGTCTCGACTTCTGTGAGCTTGTTCTTCAAAAGCTGATGGGAGTTTTCCAGATCCATGTGGAATGAAACAAAGTAGAGATCTCTGAAGTTGTAATGGTCAAACGTGCAGTGCTTGATACATGTAGAATGTATCCTGTGTATCCCTGTGTGTGTGTATGTGTGTGTATGTATGTGTGTATGTGTGTGTGCGTGTGTGTGCATGCGTGTGCGTGTGTGTGTGTGTGCATACACACCCAGGAGAGACAGGAGAGAGAAGCACGTTATTCTGCTTCCCACAAACACATACACTCTCATGCTTTGGTGCTGCCCCAGTTTGCCCAAAGGAGATTTCTGTTCCTCACCCTGTGGCTTATTTGACATTGGATTTGCTCACTAGTAGAGAAAATTTTGGAGTTATGAAAGAGATACAAAATATTGCTTTGTGTTTCAGACTTAAAAAATTTAAATGCTGGGTTTTAAATTACACAATTTTCGAAAGATGTTTAGTTTTGTTTAGTGGATTTTAAACTTAAAACAGTCTCTTGGAAGTAATGCTTTGTTTTCATTCATCTAGAAAAGGTTTAGGTAGTTTTACATGAAAGTGTTATCATTTGCTTTGGATTCCATACTGAATTTTTGCTCTGAGATGAACTCTTTAAGTTATATGAGAATCATACTCAAATTTTCTATAGTAGAAAGTGAATTCTTTTCAGACCAATTTATTACTGTACTGTGAAGCAAATTATACTCTTGCTAACTTGTAAAATCCTCTGGGTTTTTACTAGTAGAAAGGTTATCTAGAAGCCATCTAGGTACAGAACTAATTATCTTTCTGTAATTATATTTTGTTTCACAATGGAAGATGTGGATTCTTTTAGTGATTAGAATCTTATTAAGTACAATGTTTCTCATGTGTACAACTGAGGTCTTTTCTTTTTGGTCCATAGCCTTCTGGTGTTTTTGATAGAAACCCTTAAAAATATATTCCCAAACCTTGGAGTGCCCACTGTGGCACATAGCCTTTTGAACCACTGCTTGGGATACCTTATGGGATTGAATCCTAATGCCACTTCCCATCCAGCCTTGCCCTGATGGTACCTGGGAGGCAGCAGGTGGCAATAAGTGAGTTCTTGTCACCTTTATGGGAGGCCAGGATGGAGTTTTTTTATTTCTGAGGTCTGCTGGCCCAGCGCCAACTGTTACAAACCTTTGGAGAAATAAAATCTGTTCTCTTTATGGCAGTCTGCCATTCAAATAAACAAATAAGTAAGTAAGCAAATAAACAAATAAGTTTTAAAAGTATATGGCCATATCCTGCTCCCTTAAAAATGAGTGATGCAGCAGATTGGCGATCTCGTGTTGTGTGTGTGTGTCTGTATGTGTGTGTATCTGCATCTTTGTGCCTCATGTAAATAAGAAGTAGTGTTGAGAAATGTTGCAAGAAAGCAAAAAGTTCCTTTGTGTAAACCACATGATAGGGAAAGAATTGGGAATGGGAATATGAACATTTGGTAGAAGTCATAAAGACGCGCTCAGGATGCCACGCCTGAGGTGGATTCCTCTCTCTGCCTCCTGGCTCAGCTTCCTTAAGATGCCTCGGAGGCAGCGGTGACAGCTCAGGTGCCTGAGTTCCTGCCACCCAGGTGGGAAATGTAATGGGGTTGCAAACCCCTGGCCTGGCCACGGCTATTGTGGCCATTTGGGAGAGTAAAGCAACAGATAGAATTTCTCTGCCTTTCCCCCTGCCGTCAAATAAAAATAAGTAAATAAACATGTAGAAAAAAAAAAAGCAGCCCACAAGATATACAGTCCTTAGGGTTTTAGACCTGCCTACTGCCTACTGCCATTGAATGAACTTCTCTAAGCCTCAGGGTCGTCATTTGAGGGATGAAGGACATAGTAGTTCTACCTTGTTGTGTTGTTGTGAGGACTAAATGAGAACACTTGTAAAATAATTGACATAGTGAAAGTTCTCACCCTTGTAATGAAGGCAGAGTGTGCTAACCCTTTGAGAAGGATCTGAAGGAAGGAATGGGATGAGACATGAAGCACCCGGGACATATTCTCACAGCAGGAGGGGGCACGCCAGAAGGGAAGATGCCACTTCCCCAGAGTCCTAACCAGTCCTACAGGAAACTTGAAACTTTCTGCCCTGAAGATGGTGCAGAAGATGTTTAAGTATGAATGAGCTCAGGAAGGTGAAACTGCGGTGTGGAACCAGCCAGTAGAAGGGGATGGTAAGCGGGCCTAAGTGTTGGTTACACAGAGCTGCTGGGCAGTAGGAGACTGCACAGGCAGCTTTACACAGAGGCAAAAACACCCTAAGTGACACCGGGACAATGAGCAGCGACTGTGCAAGGGCAACGTGAAGTAAGGGTAGCCTACACATGTTGGTTGGTCCTTGCTCTGGGTAGATACAGTACTATTAGGAAGAGGCAGCGACAGCTATGTGAGCAGAATAAATGATTAAGTTGAAAATTACACAAGCTTCCTGCCTTAGAGAATTGGAAAGATTACTGCGCCAACTTGAATGGAAAAGTTAGATGTCAGTGAAGAAAAGCTGACCCGTTTTTGTCTTTACTAAGTTGAAGGCCACGATCTGTCACTGTGGAATGTTGTTCCAAGCTTAGAACCTGGTGCCTACGTAAAGCCTAGGACGTGGCTGCTCGCTGTCGGCCCTTGCTGCGATGCTCTTAACTGACAGATACCGAAATAGCAGCCGTGTGCCAGCGAAGGAAGGGAGCTCTTTCTGGAGCTGCAGTTTCTCTGTTCTATAAATGGGAGATGCGGGTAACTGTTCTGTAATTACTTCCTCCTTATCGGGTTGGCACATAGATTTCATCAAGCCAGCCAAATTAAAAAAAAATTCGGAGCAATTTCCAATGCCCAAAGATGGGGGAACAATAAAGTCAAGAGCTATTCTTAGATCTTCACTGATGTACATTCTATATATTGATTATAATTAAACATTATAAAAACCAATGAAGACCTTTTCATAATTAAAAAAAATTACCTGACCCTCTAAGGAATTGTCATTGCTACTTAACATGTACTTATTTTAGCGCTGTGTTTAATAAGTTCAGGTTAGCCCAAGGAGCCGAATCTTCCCTCATGTGGTTTATCAGCACTGTTGAGTTGTGGTTCCTACAGTTGTAGGTGATAAAATCTTGTAGAATCTCAGATAAGAAAGAGAATGTGTTGGGTGGACACCATAACAGAGAGTTTGTTCCTTTAAACGCGATGGCAAGAGTCAGCTGGGCAGCCGGCTGGTGCTGGGTCCCTGCTGGCAGGCATTCTCGCTCTCTCCTGCTTCTGA